ACTACATTTAACGTAAAAGTATTGCTTGATAGAATAGGAATGAGGGCTTGGTGTGGAGGTCCCGCTGTATCTAGCACTTGGGATGCGAAGGGTGGGCGTCCTTGAGGTTTCAGAGTTTGAGACCAAGCCTGGCCCAATCATGGTGAAACTCTGTCTCTATTAAAAATATAAAAACTAGGCGGGCATCTGTGGGTGGGGTGCTTGTAATCCAGGCTGGCTCATGGGGTAAGGGCAGGAGAATCACTTGACCCAGGAGGTGGAGGGTTGGCAGTGAGGCTGAGTTTGAGCCTTGCCTCCAGGCCTGGGGCAAAACAGACACGAGACTCTCTCTCGAAAAAAAAAAAAAAGTTGACTAGATTTTTTTACCTTTAGATGAATCCCGCTTCCTGATCCAAGCGCTTTGCTTTGGAGCATTGACTGTAAGAAGGAATTAATAATGGTTCTTCTTTTTATTTCTGCTTACTATCGTTAAGAAATATTATTGGCTCAATGGAACTCAGTGAAATTTGTTTATGCAAACAGGTCTTGTTTCTATAGAGGAAAACTTCTTAAAGATTTTATGGAGTAGGGTTGAAGAGTTCTTTAAATGTTATCGTAAGAGAGATATAATAATCTTGTTTCTCTGATTTTTTTTTTACACCCAAAAATTTAAACTTAAAGGGCATACATAAGCATATATGTGGATCAGGGTGGGGTTTTTTAGAGTATTATTTCAAGGGCCGCATGAATATTAGTATGCATGAAAGAGATAAGGCCTGCTGGGTGAGAGGTGGAGGAAATCTTGGAAACCCACAGTGTTAACATGGGACAAAGATGGAATGGGCTTCAGGGAACAGTTCCGTATTAAGGCAGAGGACACTGGTGACTGTTAAAGATTTTGACGGATGGACTTCTCTTGGAAAAAGCAGAGGTGGGACATGGCTTTGTGCGTGGACTGAAAAAAGAAAGGGGCTTGGAAGTATGGGAGGGCTAATGGCAGCATGTTTGTAGGCTTAAAGAAGTAACTGGATTTCAAATGACTTTATTACTTTCCGTCTCCATTATTCAGGCGGGGCGTAGGTCTCCATTTCTTTTTAAGTGGCTTAACGTCGGAGGTGGCTCATACTCGCTTCTGGCCTCGGGTTCTCGGTGTCTGACCTGTGGCAGCTGCTCCTTCCAGGGGCCCGATCTGGCCTGGATCTGCGCCAGCGCTTGGCACAGTAGTTGCGTTTTCTCTTGGTCTCGGTCTCTGTCAAGGAGCCCTCCAGGGAGTGTTTCTGAGGATATCAAAGAAGCCATGGCAAGGGATGAAAACACTCTGAGGACCAGTAGAACAGTGTTTCTCAGAAACCAGCAGAATTGCTTCCTAGGCAGTTGTGGAAATTTGCGAGGCATGTCACAATCAAATGGGAAAGAAAGGAGGCTGGCATTTATGAAGTGAGGGCCAGGCATGATGGACGTGGGATCCCAATGTGGGATTAATGGCCCTTTTCCCACAAGACTTTTGATGTTCCACTGGACATAGGTGACATATAGGTTATATTTCTACTAACACCGACTGATATATTAAAGCACCTTTTAAGGATTGCAGAATAAAAACTCGGTATGGGAACACTTGTATTTTGAAATTATATATTTATTTCTGAGTTACCTGTTGTTTCCGTGTTACTCTGCTACTGTCCCCGCAGATCCACCCTGCCAGTGTTCCACGGCCTTTTGTGCTACTGCTTTTTTTTTTTTTTCTAATCCATCTTTGATTTTCTGGCCTCTATCAAAGGTCTTTTATTAAGGTACCTGAGACTGAATGAGTGCCTTAACAGATGTGAGATTTCAAGGCAAGAGCTATATCTCATAACACAATACAGGTCATTATTTCAACACTACTCTTATGAATATCATACTTCCTCTTTGCTACTTCTACAGTCTGTAATTTGTCTTGGCATCTGCTCCCTACTTTAATGGAGGTAATTTTCCTCTTTCCTTTATTATAGATAAATATGTCTGGGCAAGTATTACTTCTCTTGATATTAGTCATTATCCAAGTGTCCACCCCAACTTCCACTCTTTCATTTCCCTTTTCTTGTGTGGAGGAACTTCTGATCTTACGTGGTTGAAAATGAAAGATTTATTAAGAGAAGATGCAAGACTCTGCCTATTTCATTACATTTTCTAGAGTAGTCGGGCCCATGTATTTACCTAGTAAATTCATTTTATCATAAAATACTTGCCTTTTTATTGCATTTATGGTATTATACTTTAAAAAATAATTTTGTGTATTTCTAAATCTATTACCTAGTGACTTCATTCTAGCATTGCAAAGAGGGAATTACACAATATTTGTCATCACAGGCAGACATTGGATCTAATGGGCTGAGAACCTAACACTGACTTAGAGCTACTGACTTAGGCAAACAGATGTGTTACATAGAGGGTGCTGGGCTCTCCAGGAGCACCTAAGTGGAAGGAGATCAGGATGGTAATGGGGAGAGTGAGGCATCAGGTAGCAAGACGCCAGTGAGGTGTGTGCTCGGCAGCTCAAAACTTTAATTTCCCTGGTAATGCGTCCTCCTAGGGTATTCCTTTTTATGATTGCTAATACACTCATAAGTCAGAGGGGACAGCATCTCTACTTCACAGTCTTCCACTGTGAAGGCTGGCTTGTCAAAGAGGGAGAAGAACAGGATGAACTTGAAAGTTTGTACATCACAGGAAGCAAACGTGAACATTTATGTATTTAGACAACTCTCAACTTGCCAATGACTCGTGTTCTAGCTGTAGGAGATTGAGCTTAGAATTCATCATAAGACAACAGGGCCTCAGGGGTGTAAGTTAGGTACCATGCTCCCATTATTCTAGAATTCAGTTGTGTCCTGTGTTAAGTGGGCTTTTTGTGTGTGGATTATCCTATGAGCCCAAATTATAGTACCACTGGCTGCATAGACTCTAACTACTTTATAACATCCTTGTTTTTATGTGAAAATGCTCACAATTCTGGTCTGGGGACTCGAAAATGTATTTCCATCAATGTAGCTCAGAAATAGAGGGAGGATTCACTCACACAGCTCCTGCACCAAGAACAGAGTCCTCGGGGATCTAGTTCAGGGAAGAAGGGAAATGGAGAAGAAACGAAGGCTCCAGGAGCCCACAGTGGCAGGGGGGTCTAGGGTACCCGCTAGCAGCAGTGATGAGGGAGAGGAGAAGAGGGCCATCCTGGTTAAGTTAGGGGCCAGTCAGTGTAAAAACAAGTCTCCCATCTAAATTCGACATAGGGAGAAAGCACACACCTTTAGAGGGCGGCTAAATCAAGAGTCTCTCAATGTTTTGAGTCATCTTTTCCTTCTTGGCTCACTGCACTCACTTGGGTAATAGCTGCTCTATTCTTTGTGTTACAGCCTGGTGTCCTCAGGGGGCACGAAACCTCTTATGACGAAGGGAGTCCTTAGGCCACGTGCATGCTGTAATTCTCAAAGTCAAGCCTTTTGAGCACTGCCAGCTCACACTCTAGAAGGGAAGCCATTTTTAATCCTGGCTGGCTTTAATCCATTTTGACTCCAAGCTGATGTTTGAAGTAAGCCAGGAGCTGGTGGTATGTGCCCAAATGGCTGAAGGCTTGGCTCCCAGGTGTGCCCTCCAGGATCTGACCTCCACCCTGGACTCTGTGGCGATGAAGAGCCTGACAGTGCCCATGTGGCATTCAGGTGTGTACCCTCTCTTCCTCTGCCTGGCGAAACCACATGTGGCTTCTAATATGGCTTCATCAGTATCAGGAGATGCTGGTGTGATACTAGCTCCCCGCCCTGTGTGGCACTAGCCCCACGCCCCTGATCATAGACCTGTGGCTAATTTTCAGGTGGAGCAATACTGCTACTCTTTGTTCTGCGGGCCTAAACTGAATTACCCTGAGAAAGGATCTATGTGAAATGTCTATTTTCATGAAATGAGCATTAAGCATCAGGCAGGAAGGAAACCCCCAGTGATGTCAAGGAGGAAGAAAAAGCTCTATTTTGAGGGTCTACCGATCTGTTTTTCCTGCTCTCCTCCACTCTCTGCTAAGTATTTGCAGGCAAAGGTGTAATAGAAAAAAGAGGGAAGGGCAGAGGGAGGTGCTTCTCGGAGGCTTTCTAGAATCACAGGATCCAGGCTGAACTTTGCCGTCACCTACCGTGGCCATTAGGGACTGCAGCTGGATCTCCAGGGTCTGCAGGGTGCGCCTCATCTCGGTGAGCTGGCTCCGGGCGGAGGTGGCTGCGCCTGCGTCGTGGGAGATCTGCTGCTGCAGCGAGGCGCTCTGCAGGACCGGGTAAAAGGGTCACACGGAGTCCCCACCCGCCCGGGAGGTGTGGGCACAGGGAGGGGGCCCACCTCACCTTCTCATTGAACCAGGCCTCCGCGTCCTTGCGGTTCTGCTCTGCAAGGGCTTCGTACTCCGCTCGCATGTTGTTCAACAAAACCGTGAGGTCTACCCCGGGGGCCGCGTTCATCTCCACGTTCACGTTGCCCCCAGCCGCGCACTGCAAAGCCTTCATCTCCTGGAGGGAAGCAAGAGCGTGGTTTTAGGGGCATTGCAGGTTCACACTCAGTCTGAGAAGTTTTCAAACGTGTTACTTTATGTCTCAAAGTTTGTGGTCAGGTGTATAATTTATGGCACACAATTTTTTAATTGACATATTCGGTCCATATTCATGCCAATCATCTATTTAATTAGTGACCTGTTGGCTGGGCGCGGTGGCTCACTCCTGTAATCCCAGCACTTTGGGAGGCTGAGGCGGGCGGATCACTTGAAGTCAAGAGTTCCAGACCAGCCTGGCTAACATGGCGAAAACCCTTCTCTACTACAAATGCAAAAATTAGCCAGGCGTGATGGTGTGCGCCTGTAGTCCCAGCTACTCCAGAGGCTGAGGCAGGAGAATTGCTTGAACCTGGCAGGTGGAGGTTACAGTGAGCCGAGATTGCGCCACTGCACTCCAGCCTGGCGACGGAGTGGGACTCTGTCTCAAAACAAAAGAAAACAAACAACAAAAAAAATTAGGGACCTGTTAATTAAAATCACCACCATCACCAAAAGCAGTCATAGCACCCCAAGAGAGGTTAGTTATTCTTTTAAATGAGAAAGGGATTTAAAGACCAGAGAGTTACTCAACATATGGTTACTGACTAAATGTCAGGTTGATGGGAATAGAATAGTGGAAAAAATCCTGAAATCCTGGCCCTCATAGGCATTCGTCCTAGGGATGACCGCTGTCATTTACTGAGTGATTACTATATGCCAGGCACTGTTCTGAGCGTGTGACATGTATTAACTCACTGAAGTCTTTTAACATTCCCTCGTAGTAGGTAGTATTATTAGACTCATCTGTCTATATCCATTGGCAAATGTTAACAATTAACCTGAATTACTATTGCGATTTTTAACCTCCAACCCCTGCCCAGTTTAAAATGTACAGAATTGTGATTGGACTACAGGTAAAGCTTCTCCTACCTCTTCATGGTTCTTCTTGAGATATGTCATCTCCTCACTCAGAGACTCATATTGCAGCTCCTGGTCAGTCCTGCAGAGTGTCAGCTCGTCCAGGACTCGCCGTAATCCGTTGATGTCAGCCTCTACGTTTTGGTGAAGGGTGAGCTCATTTTCATACCTTGGGGGGGCATTTAAGTGAATTTCAGTGCCAGTAAGACTACCTCAAGAAACAGAAATATTCAATCCCAATTGCTTTAAACTGAAAATTAGAAATTGAATTAGGACTCTAAGTAGTATAAAAATATATGAAGAAAGCCCTCCTCCATTACCCCCACCCAATTCTGTACTGGATAATTGGCTGTTATTTCATCACACAAATTCCAATAGCATAACCTAGTTAAATAAAAATACACCGTTTTGGAATTTTATTTTAGTTAATGTTTTTCCTTAGTTGACTAATGATTTACTGAGCATCGACTTTGTGCTTGGCAGTATTCTAGGCAGGCAGAGAAATATATTGATATTTTGTCCCAGGAATATAATAACTATGTATAAGTTGATTGTAACATTATAATACAAATCCTTTGCTTCCTTTTATCTTTTAGTTGATAGTTCATTCTACTTGGGATGAAATTGAAATTTTATTTAACGAATTAAATAAATAGAAACTTTTTTCTAGAGCAGGATTTTTTCTGTCACTTACTTTAGCCTGAAATCGTCAGCAGCCAGTCTGGCATTATCAATCTGCAGAATGACATTAGCATTAGTGGTAGTGGAGGAGATAATCTAGAATAAACCAAAACAGAGAACACAACAAGTAAGTATGCTTTTATGTAATTCATTATTTCAGGAAATGAAAAAGGTACTCAAGGTTTTGCATAAAAATCTCACCTCCTTATGTAATAATCAAAATGTTTCAAATGTAACTTTTAAAAATTAAAGACATGGTTTTATTTATTCTCATGTATTCGCCTAACTTTAGAACTACAATACTTTTTTATTCATATGTCTATGAATGTACTTCAACATAAACAATGGAACTAATAGCATTTTAACTACATTAAAACTCATGAATCAAAGGGCCCATTTTTGAATAATAGGAAGAATTGTTTAAATAAATAAATACAAGTTACAGATAACAGTCACAAAACATTTCTTATTGTATGTCTTTTGCTAGGTATTTCTTAGTTTTAAATACTTGGGATAGTTCCAAATCTGTGATTTCTCACCTTATTCTTAAGATCCTCAATTGTTAGGTGATATCTGCTATAGTCATGATCAAGTCCACGGCAAGATCCGGGTCCGTATTTTTCATACCAACCCTTGATTTTTCTCTCTAATTCAGCATTTGCCTCCTCCAGAGCTCGCACGTTATCCAGGTAGGATGCCAAGCGGTCATTAAGATTTTGCATGGTCACCTTCTCATTTCCAGAGAGGAGTCCCCCTTCGCTTCCAGCAAAGCCAATACAAGCAGCATTTCCAAGGGCACCACCAGCATGGCTCCCACCAGGAACGCTGCCCAAGCCCCCTCCCAAGGCACAGGAAAATTCGCTTCCAGCAACAGAGCTGCCACATGCGCTGCTGCCCGCAAAGCCTGCACCTCCATTGGGTGGTCTGACAGATCCAGCTCCAGACCTTAAGCAAACATGTCTGGATCCATTAGAAAATCGGAGAGACATGGTGTTTTGAGAAATGTTCACCTTGTCTGTGTGAAACTGTAATGTCCCAGGAGAACAAAATATCATGCACTGATGATTTCTTTGGGCTTTTATATACAATTATTGGGGCGTTCCTATTTGAGTTATATATGCCAAAAGAAAAATGGCATACTTAGATTAGCATAAAATTATGTATAATTGAGTGATTTTAAAAATAATTAATGTCTAACATCCCTAGGTGTTGCTTTGGGCTATTTGTTATCTTAAATATAATAGGGTTTGTTCTATATTAAGTTTATTAATTTAACTTCTAATTTTGAGTGAGTAATCCTTTACTTTCATCTAGACCCTAGGCATGTACTATCATTATCTGGCGCCAGGTATTATCAAAGTTTTTATAAAGTTAAGTAAGATTATGATAGAGTTCTGTGAGGTACAGTAGGGTCTCAATTACCACTGAGGGGTATAAAGGACTGCTAACTACAGAAACAAATATTTTATCCCACCAGAAAAAATGTGTTATTTAGAAAACAGACTAGCAACATCTCTGTTCCTACCATAATTGTAACATCTGTTTATTATCTTGGACAATGACACAAATATTGACCTGTTATTTTGTTTAAAATAGCATGGTTATGATGTCTGGTGCTCTATGCTAAGTGCTAAAATGAAAGACATAGTGTTAACTAAATGCAGAAATGAAAAATGCACGATTACCATCTTTAAGAAATCTATTGCCAGGTTCAGACAGGGGCTGGCTCATGGTTAGTCTTCTGTGCTGGTCTAAAGAGTTTGTAATGAATCCTAAGTAAAAAGCAGAGGGCAACATGATCATGTTGAAATGAAACAAGGTGGACAATTGCAAGGTTGGAACAATGGTCCAGGTGAGAAGAATGAAGGCAGTGGGGATGCAGAGAAGATGGCTTTGAGAGCATATGGTAATATGATTGAATTTGGAGAGTAGGGAATAAGGCAGAATTGGGGATAACTCTTAGGTAATTAATTTTAGATTCTGGGAATTCATAATATTCACTGAGATGGGGAATAGAGGAGGAGGAAGACACTGAGTTTAGGTTTGGACCAACTGGATTTGAGGGGTTGCTAGAATGTTCCAGATGAAGGTGGTTGATAGAAAGAATGACTGTTTAGAATATGTACACTGAACTGGAAAAATACTTGACTAGCAATGAGTAAAAGAAAATTGGAGGTCCAGCTCTCATTCGTAATGACGTTCAACTGCATGTTTGGAAGTAATCCTGGTGCAGGAATAGAAAGGATGATGATCAGACTGATGTGGGTTTTGGGATTTGAAGACAGGTCCAGAAGAAGGAAACAGTGGCAAAGAAGTTTCTGGTGTTCTTGAGAAAACGGTTGAGGCGATTGACTCTATGATCATATAGCAAGAAGAAAGCAAAACCAGAGGGACAGATGGACTGAAGAAAAGGGCAGAGGGTGAGTCATTGGGCATCCTTATGAGGTCATGGAGCAGGCAGAGTGTGAGGGGGAGATTGATAAAGGTGAAGGATGACAGGCTAAAGTTGGATAGTGGAAACCAGAATTTAGAATTTTAAAGTAAGCACAACTCCAGGTGTCGCCAAAGTCCAGAGAGTAGTCATGGGACTGGACCAACAGTCACTGGAACAAGAAGTCAGAAGTGGATTGGACCTGAAAGGCAAGAGAGTAGGAGGTCAGGAACTATCTGTCTATGACGTTAAATGGACCATCTATAAAGGCATGAACTTTCTCATGATGGCAGGAGACGAGAGGGAAGTGGGCTGTGAGCCAGTGTCAAGGTTTTTGGACAATGAGGCAGAGGGGAGTGTGTGTGGTGAGGGGCCATTGAATGGCATTTGCCTCAAAAGAGGAGTCTTAGCATAAGAATTAAGTGGCACAAAGCTAGATGTGGCATTGGAAATCTAGAGAACACAGACTCTGCCTTGAAGTCCTTACGTTAGGTGTGTGGAAGTGGGAGCAGAAGAGGAGATGGAGGTGAAGAAGGTGGATGGAGAGGAAAAGACGTGGGAGAAAATGAGAGGAAGGGGAGAGAGATGGGAATGCAAATGGAGGATGAAGGATACGTTTCTGATAGAAAAAGTTGTTAGGGCAATTCACCAGAAAGTGGTTAATGCTATTAAAAAATCATTTCAATTGAACTATTTTGCAGAGAGGTCTGCAGAAAATGTTCATGTAATTGTCAAAATATGGATAAAAAGAGTTTCCACCTCATAAACCTGTTGAAAAACTAAATGAGATTATGCTTAGTGCGGTGCCTGGCAAATGGAAAACTGTCAATGAATGGCAGCCATTATTATTACTGTTGTTGTTGTTCCTTACTGGGTGTGTGAATGTGGAGGGCTGGGATATCAGGCTGGAAGAGAAGGAGAGGTGTGCAAGGAGAGGCCTCCTTCCTCTTGAGGCCATGGCTATAGAGAGTGGGGATGAAGAGGGTTGGCAGGGCAGGAAAAAGGAGGGACAAGGGACAGGAGGCACTTGGTTGGATGTGACTGGTTTTGAGTCCACTCGGTTGGATTTGACTGGGTTCAGGGAGTGATGACAAGTATAAAATTGTTTTGCCACCAGAATAGTCAGGGGTAGTCTCCGGGAAGTGCCTTGGCCTAAGCAGTCTGGAGCCTAATTAGCTGGTGCTGAGGGCGGCTCGCATGTGGCCTCTAAGATGCATTTTCTGGACAAAGTTGTAGGATATTTTTAGCGTTGCAAAGAGCCTTAGACATCACCTAATTCAGCCCCTTATTTGGCAGTTGAGGGCAACTGAGAACCAGAAATGTTGAACAATTTGCTCAGAGTCGTGAGGGATAGGCCAGGTGAAAACCTGGCGTATGTTCAAGTTGACCTTGGTATTCTGGCACCGTGAACATGTTTAGACATAAATAATTACTCTATGATGCATGCTCATACAAATACTTTATATGTTCCCATTTGTAGTCTATTTTTTAAACATTGGCAACCTCTTTAATATCTGGAGACTAGATATTACAAAATTAGGACTCATTTGTCCAGTATGTACACAATATTCACAGTATAACGAAGTTAAATAAAATGCACGTAACGTATAGGGAAATATATAAGCTGAAATTTTCTAGTACATACCATCTATAGTCTTAACATACATGAGTTGTAAAATGATTCTAACTGAATTGTTGAGATTTAAATATAATGAATTAGAATATCAAAATATATAAAGAATTGTAAATCTCTCATTTATCGCTAAACTCCAAATAATAATTAGACAAGTCATTGGTGAAACGTGTCTGCATCCTTTATAAGTAAATAAAATGTTTCCAAAGGCCATTTTACAACAAGAAAAGAAACAACAATGCACTGCATACTTGAAAATTGCTAAGAGTAGATTTTAAGTGTTTTCACCACAAAAAATGATACAGATATGGCGTAATGCATGTGTTAATTACTTTGAGCCATTCCACAATGTACACATTTTTTGTCTTTTTAAAAAACTTTTCTTCATCAAAAGAAAGCTGGTTTTCTTTTCTTTAAAAATGTATACGTATTTTACAACATCATGCTGGGTTTTTTTGTTTTCTTTAAAAAGTACACATATTTTAAAACATCATGTTGTACAACATAAATATATACAATTTTAATTTGTTAATTTAAAAACAAATGAAAACAACAAAAAGAAAAAATGACAAACTATTTCTTTAAAAAGTATATGCTTAAATAAGTGGATTCTCCTTTTCAGCCAGCATCTGTCATTAGGACCCCGGCCATCCCACGTTGCCAGCCACACTCACCCCATCTCCTTCCACCAGGGGGCAGGGCTCGTCTACATATGGATCTCTCCGCGCAGGGGCGGAAACTCCTCTCCAGCCTGGGTCCCTGCTGTCCTCAGGTGGAAACGATTAAACCTCTGCAAACAAGCAGCTTCAGCATTTATTTTTGTGAAGTTACAGAGTGTGATTAGTACAAAGACATGATGGCCTTTCATTGATATGCTGCTTTACAGCTTCCAAAGGGATTTCTTGTATATGATCTCATTTGAACCTTACAATGAAGCTGGGAATTAGGAAGAGAGAGGTTTCCTTTCCCTGTTTTAAAGATAAGGAAACAGAGCAACAGTTCAAGGATACACAGTGTGAAACTGGATGGACAAGGCCCAGAACGCACCTTGCATCTCAGTGCGGTGGTCCTTTCAGTACATAATTATCTTAAGGTCAGGTAGAGAAATTAAAACCAAACAATGCAAAATCTGTCTTTAATGTCTTTGTCTTCTTACAAATTCTTTGCAGAATTTCGAATTAATAGCAAAATAAAATTTTGACCACAGTTCTGCTATCAGGTGTCATTCATTCATTCACTCATTTGTTCAGTCAAGAAAAATTTAACGAGTACCTATTTTTTAAAACGTTTATTTTAGGTTCAGGGATACATGTGCAGGTTTGTTATATAGGTAAACTTGTATCACAGGGGTTTGCTGTGCAGATTATTTTGTCACCCAGGTTCTAAGCCTAGTGCCCAACACTTTTTTTTTTTGGATCCAATGAACACCTATTATGTGCCAGGCATTGCGTTAGTGGCAGGTCGTACCAAGGGGAAGAAAATAGATGCCTTCTCAACTCTCATGGAACTTATTGTTTATTGGGGAGTTGAGCTTTAAGCAAATAAGCATAAAATTATAAATCGTGTTAAAAATTAAGGAAGGAAGGAACAGGAAGCTATTAGGTGAGGACCTAGTTTAGATTAAGGCAATTCTTTTGAAGAAATGACATTAAGCTGATACTGGAAAGATGAGAAAGAGATTGCTAGGCAAGGGAGTAGGGGGTGGGCGAAGAGGCATTTTGGGAGGGGAAGAAAATACAAATAATTTTTTTTTTCTTTTAGCTTGAGAAGGGAAGGGTATGGTGCCATCAAGGAACTGGAAGAAAACCAGTATTGCTGGTGGTGAGTGTGCAGGGAGACAGGACTGCAGAGGGCGGCCCATGAAGAGATTTATTGGACCAGGCTAGGGATTTTGAATTTGAACCCAAGCATAAAGGGAAGCCATTGAGAAGTTTAAGTAGAGGAGTGATGGAGAATGGATGGGAGGGGAGTGAGAGTGTGTGTGGGGAAACCATTACAAAGCCAGTTGCAGTAATTCAGATGAGCCAGGGTAGTTAAGATAGAAGTGGATGGAATTGGGATAATTTTGGAGAATGTCTTTATTGCACCTGGTACTAAATAGCTGTGGTAAGGATGGGGAGGACAGAAAGAGAGAAGAATTAAAGATGATTCTTGAGACAGGCAAAATAATGCCCCTACCAAAGATGTCCACGTCCTAACCCCCCAGAACCTGTGAATATATTACCTTCCATGCCAAAAGAAACATTACAGATGTGATTAAATTACAGATGTTAAGATGGGAAGATTATCCTGGATTATCTGGGTGGACCCAATATAATCATAAGGGTCCTTAGAAGGAGTAAGGAGTGTCAGAATCAGAAAAGGCAATGGGACAATGGAAGCAGAGACAGAGATTGGAAGATGCTACGCTGCTGGCTTTGAAGATGAAGGATGGGGCCATGAGACAAGACATGCATGTGGCTTCTAGAAGCTAGAAAAGGCAAAGAAATGGATTGTTTCCAAATGGTGAGTGATGGTGCTAGCATTTGCAGCTGTGGTTTTTTCACTGTGTTGTGCTGTCTTCTGGGATTATATCATCAACCATCAATACCCTACTACCGAAGGTGATCAGAAATAAAGATTCTGGGCTGGGTCCTATGGCTCATGCCTGTAATCCCAGCACTTTGGGAGGCTGAGGTGAGTGGATCACTTGAGGTCAGGAGTTTGAGACTAGCCTGGCCAGCATGGCAAAACCCTGTCTTTACCAAAACTACAAAAATTAGTTGGGGGTGGTCACGTGTACCTGTGATCCCAGCTACTGGAGAGGCTGAGGCTGAACCCGGGAGTTGGAGGTTGTAGTGTGCCAAGATCATGCCACTACACTCCAGCCTGGGCGATAGAGTGAGTCTATCATCTCAAAAAACAAACAACAAAAAATTAGCAAGGCATGGTGGCATGCATCTGTGGTGTCATTCGGGAGATGAGACAGGAGGATTTCTTGAGCACAGAAAGTAGAGGCTGCAGTGAGCCGTGGCAACAGAGTGAGACTTTATCTCAAAAGCAAATAGCAACAACAACAAACAAATAAAGATTCTGTAGAGATATTTTATGGATCATAGTTTTGAAGTTGGGTACCTCAGTGTAGCATTTGTAACTATGCCCTCAGTTGTTCTATAGTGCTCTTCCCAACCGTTAAAAATATTTAATTTCTACTATCCACCAAGGCTCAGTTCAAGAGCCACATCTTCTAGCAAACCTTCTCTGACATTCCTTTCTGATTTGGATGCCATGGTGCCTTTTCCATGGTCCTTAGCCCCCGACATGTACATTTACTATGGCATGTATCACAGGGAATGGCTATGTCTTAACTTATTATCTCCATGGCCTAGCACATTGTCTGCCTCAATGATGCTTGTTGAATGAATGAATGAATGAATGTATTTCACCCACTGAATTAAAGTCTCAGGAACTCCAAATCCCTACCTTCTTCCTGGCAAGGTCCTGGGGATGATTGTTCTGAAAAGGGCTGGTGCACCAAGCCCTTGATGTAGTTCAGCTGCTTCATCCGTTGTTGGACACAGCTATTTCTGCTACATCATTCCTCTGCTCTGTTCATGGTGGGGAGGGTTTTCTTTGCCCCAGCATTTGCAGTTTTTATGAAGCTCCCATAGGTTACTGTTTATTTCAGTCCTTTTCTTGGTCCCTTAGAAAGAGGGGAACAAATAGCCCCAGTGAGTGAATTGGAAGGCATTTGAGTGACACTACCCAGATTTGCACTTAGAAGTGTCCTCACTGGTTATGATCCAGTGTCTCAAGCCCCTAAATTACCTGCTGTGGGGGAAGTTGCTATTATTGGGGGCAGTCTTTAACCAAATTTAGGTATTTACCATGAAGGAAGTCATGAAGATGGAGAGCTAGAAAAGTTCCTAGCATTTGGGAGAGCCTGGAAGGCATGAATTATTTTTTCCATGTTTTTAAACCCCAGCATCCCTGGATTTGCCTTGGGAGGTCTTATAGTCCATGTACTCACTTGTAGGTGACTCACTGATTTTGTCGCTGGCTTAACCAATATTTATTGAGCCTCAACTTGTGTGTTGAGAATTGTGCTAAGTGTGGGTTTACAGCTACCTATGAGTAAGGCAGACAGACCTAACCTCGCTGAGATTAAAATCTAGTTTACAAAAGGACTACCCAAGGTGTTTCCAGGGACATGCTGACAAGATTTTTTCCTACGCTCTGTCTCCCAGGCTGGAGTACAGTGGCACGATCTCAGCTCAATGCAACCTCCACCTCCCAGGTTCAAGGGATTCTCATGCCTCATCCTTCTCAGTCGTTGGGATTACAGGTGCATGCCACCACGTCTAGCTAATTTTTGTATTTTTTAGTAGAGATGGGGTTTCACTATGTTGCCCAGGCTGGTCTTGAACTCCTGGCCTCATGTGATCTGCCCACCTTGGCCTCCCAAAGTGCTGGGATTACAGATGTGAACCACTGCATCTGGCCTCTCTGGAGACTCTTGATACACCAGCAATGAAAGCCTAGTCCTCAATCTCTGTGCAAGGGGTATCGCTGCTGAGGGCGTATTTTGGATGTGTGTGTGTGTGTGTGTGTGTCTGTGTGTGTCTATGTGTGAATGTGTGCACATGTGGTCATCATAATGATAGGGGTTGTTGCTGGCATTTGGGGTCGGGGAGGGATGCTAGACAAACTGAAATGCATGATACAGTGCTGGACATCAAGGAATTGTCCTGTGTTCCACATGACTTTTCCATGAGCTATTTATGAAAGTGAAAAACCTGTTTATAATTACCTGAATCTGGAAACAAATTCTAATTTATGTAAAAACACAAAGTTTTTTTCTTTGCAAAGTTGTAACTGAATTTTTCAGGAATGTAATTGCTTTATAAATCAAGGAAGATTGTACTTAAGCTTATTTTGCCCAGAATTTGGTCAAGAATTGTTTAAAAAATCCTGTCACCAACAACATTGCTACTCATTGTATTTAAGTCAGTGATGTGCCCATGTTTTATCAGTCTCTTCATTGGTACCTTTTTGCATTCACATTGATTTTGCATATAGATGCAATCATTTGACTACTTCATTACATCTTCTGGTACAATCGTACTCGAACATTTCCATATTGAAATGCAAATAATTTTATTACAAGTAACTTTCCATTTTTCTTTTATATCTATTGTTAACCTTTCTACACATGATAGATTATAATCATAGATAATATAACCTTCCCATGCACAGTTTATTTTTCTTTTTTTTTCTTTTCTTCTTTTTGAGATGAGTCTTGCTCTTGTCGCCCAGGCTGGAGTGCAGTGGTGCGCTCTTGGCTCACTGAAACCTCCACCTCCCAGGTTCAAGCAATTCTCCTGCCTC